CAGTAAAAAAAACAAATTTGCGATTTTCTTCGCATAGCATTATAATTATAGTTCATTTGGAAAAAAAAGTTCAAATTCAAAACAACAATTAATAGAAAACAATACTTCTGAAATTAAAAGAATTATTTTGTTTTGCATATTGAAAGCTGAAGAAGCAAAAATAAATCATGTGCTTATATTCAGTTTTTTCTCAAGTATCTATAGACTGATTGTGAGAAATACTATTGTCTATGTCGACGTGTAGTTTTATAGTTCATCTTAGTTATAACCCGCTGGAAGAACTTTGCATACAGATGGTGTTTCATGAATAAATTCAACCTAAACGAAACCTTTGCAGTGAGTTGTTCGTTCTTAAAAATATATTACTTAAACGTGATACGCCATTATAATGTTTTTAGGAAAAAATCAACTCAACCGAACTATTGCAACATCCCATCAAACGAATCCAATTATTTAAATTGATGATTCATATTAACATGTCATACGATAATATAAACACTGCAAAATATAATTGTTTAGAATTTCGGTGTAGAAATGATTAAACTCAGTCGATGTCAAAATTGAAAATGTGTCATATATGTTAATTATATTATAGTAAAGTGGCTAGAGGCTTATTAAAATAGGGGTAAGTTAGTAACAGGCATTTATCAATAGGATCTTGAAATAAAAAATATAATATTTCTTTTTCTCGATTGGACATGTGAACCTCTAGCATATTATATTGTTATCATAGCTCCCGAAATATACAAAACTGTGCAACTGCGTTATTTTTGACAGGTAGTATGAACAATTTGCGTTATTATTATCGACTAATTTTAAATTTAATATATAATTTTGTTGCAAATTTAGCAAAGAAACCCCCGCATAACACGGTACTTCTATAACACGGATTCGCTCTACTTTTTTCGGTACTTTTAAAGCACGAAAATCAAACTTTATCTAATCTAAAATTAGTAAAATCGCCGTACAAGAGCTTAGTAAATGTGATGAAACTAGTGCAAAACTAGCTGTAAGTGGAATTCTGTCTTGAGGCAATTATGGCATCGTGCCTTAAGGCAAATTGCTGGAACTTCCCGCACCGTAACGAAATGTTCGAGGAATACTGAATGTTTTCAAATAGATTATTATAAATATTGTAACATTGTGTAATATTTATAAGAATTATATAAACCGAATTGCAGAGTTGAAATTATTTGTAAAGTATATTAGAACTATAGTCAGAATTAAAAATAAAATCTGAAATATTTTCGATATACAAAATACTAAAAAAAAAAAAAAAAAAAAAAATAGAACAAATTTTTTTTTCCAAAATCAATTATTTTGTTAAGACAAGCAGAAAGTTCTTTGAATCATTTAAATCGGACGCTTAGTTCTCTCAAAAACTGCCATTTTTTACATATTTAGCTTATCTTCGAAATGGTTTTTTACATATTTAGCGTATCTTCGAAATGGCTGGGCCTGCCTTTGCCAAAAACTAATAAACACTTCTCCCAATCATTACTAATTGAATGTTTTTTAGATCATTCAAATCGGATACTCCGTTCGCTCAAAAATTCGATTTTTATTTTCTGCACTCTTTGCTCCGTATCTCCGAAACGGCTGGACCTGCCTTTGCCAAAAACTAATCAGCTCTATTCCCTATCAATAGGAATCGAATGTTTTTTGAATCATTCAAATCGGTTGATCCGTGCGCCCTAAAACGTGACTGGAAATTTGTATCCACACATACATACACACACACACACACACACACATCCATTTTTTCTGAGGTATGCCAAAACGTTCAGAAACCTTCAAAACGTCGAGAAATGTAAAAATTTTCAATTCCGATTTTCGGCCCATTACAATAACTTACCCTACGGGAAGTTAAAAAAAGTAATTTAATATTTATTATTTGAGCGCGTACGTTCTATCCAAAAAAAATCTAGAATTATCCAATAAATATGAAATATGTAATATATTTCATATTTCATAAACAAAGATTCTTTAAATAAAATGAGCATACAAGTTTAATAAAGTTTAACTTTGCATATGTTAAATATAAAAATATCATTTTGCTAAAAGCAAGTGATCACAAATAATTTTTTTTTGTGTGCAAACATTTTCATTTTCGATTTTCGGCCCATTACTATAACTTACCCTACGGGGAGTTAAAAAAGACAGAAATATAAGCACATATTTCACCTTATAATAACACATATTTTTACCTTACACGGTTAAATCCATTCACTTGTATGAACATAATTTTCAAATCATATATTATCTCATAACATTTGAAGCAAATATTATTTTATATACCATGGTATCTTTTTTATGATGATGTTTCTCAAGATAGTGTATAATATTTACTTAGTGATCCATTAAAACATCACGTACTTCATATCGTATTAATAAAACATGAACGAAATGTTTCGTGTATAATATTCTACCGTGGACTAACATATAAAGTATGATACATATAAGATATAAATAATAAAATAATGGAACTAACTGTAAGTGGTATTTCCCTTTTTGTAGTTTCAAAAGGCAAGAAACAAAAAAATTTGGTAAAAATATCAATTGCACAAAACCTATTCCAAAAACAGTTGTAAGTAGCATTTTTGGAAATTTGCATAAACTTTGCGGTACGAATACGTAATAACTTGATAAGAATTAGGATTCAGCAATTAGAGATAAAATATTCAATTCAAAAGCCTATAATATTTTAGTATGTTATTTCAGACTACAAAATCTATCGTCATCCAAATCATCAAAAAAAAAATAACTTTTTATTACGAAGAAGCGGCCCGGTCGATCTTTTACAGAAACTAATCAGCGCGATTTCCAATCAATATCTATCGAATTTTTAAAATCGTATAAAAAGGTTGGACTAAAACGAAAACGAATAATTTTACACTTTTTTGCTAATTACAAAGAAATGGCTCGAATCATCGTCGCACAAACTTATAAAAGCTAGTCCTTATCGAGATATCGAGTGACTTTTAAATTTTTGATATGGGTCTAGTTGTTTTTGAGAAAACGACATATCGCATTATTTTAGAAAAAAAAACATCAAAAATCGGCTCACATGGGGCAGGGCGGGGCTAGTTGAGCAATTTTTTTCTTAAACGGATGTGGCTCCTCAATGAAAAGTCTAAATAAATTTCTATACGGCTTAATGGATTTGCTATTTATCGCTTAACAAAAGTGTTGATACTATTTTTTGGTAATAAGTAAAATTTAAAAACTACAGCTGTTTAAATGCAAAAAGTCAAGTATGCTCAATGTACCCCATAGATGGGGCAAGTTGAGCACTAAGAAAGTATAATGAAATCATAGGTTCAATGTCGATTAGTGATGAAATAAAATAAGTTTTTAATAAACAGTTCTATATTTATATTCTTTATTGACAGAAAAAACAAAACTTAAAGTTATTTGCTTTGAATAATTAACGAAAAGCAGAATCAACAAAACAATATCGTATCTTTGGAATAATTTTACCATTATATTCAGTATTTTGTTTAAAATCATTATTACTAATAGACTTAGCTTAAATTTTAAAAATAATAATTAATTTCTGAAAGTTAATGGTAATTGTCTTAGTGACAGAACAAGTTTAGCAACTATGCTCAACTAACCCCAACTCGGAATTTCGAAATAAAAGTAAGTTTATAAAAAAAAACGTAAGTAATATACCCAGAATCTCTGTGCATCTTAAAAGTACTATAATTATATGAAAGAATAACATTTACCTCATTAAAAATAAATAACATTTGACTAAACCAGACGAAAACTCGTGATGAATTACGTTTTTACTTTTTGGTCTCAAAATAAACAAAACGGCCGTGAGCCTCACTCATTTGTCCAGCGGCCACTAGCGATCGCGGTATGTTTATTTCTCCCAAACCTTTTCCGCAATCTTTCCGCCATATAATGCCTAAACAGACGGTGAGTAGTTTTTGAGATATTTCGATTGCTCAACTTGCCCCTATGCTCAACTAGCCCCGCTCTACCCTACACGCATACTTTTTCCAAATTTGGTCTGATTCGATTCAGGAAGACTTGAAACAACGAGAAAACAAAAAAATAGCAAATCGGATTTTTTTGTGTATGCATATCAAAAATTAAATCAATAAATATATTAGATTATCTTGAAAGTAAATCAACTTTATATCAAACAATAGATTACCAATAAACTAGAACAGTAAAGATTACATTTTTTATTACATTTCATATTTATTATATTCATTGATAAAGCAAGGTTCAATTACCTTAATTGAGATGTAAAGTATTAAAAAGAGTGAAATAAAATCAACGTTTGACGCATATCCAAGCTATATGGAGCTGCATTACACTAGCTCAGCGATTTCCAACCTGTGGGGCGCGCCCCCCTGGTGGGGCGCGGTGCCGTCCCAGGGGGGGCGCGAAGCTCTTTCAAAAATATGGTTGTTAAATGCTGAGTAAGTGTCAAAAACAAATCAGCAAAATGTATGCAAGTTATCTACAATTTTCGCTGCAATTTTGTCAGAACAAATGTAAAAGCATGAATATACTATACTTTTGGTGCATTCAAAATATTTCGTTTTTTGCGTTTGTAGTTGAGTGAGCAGTAGGCCTATAAACAAAAGATAAACACTCGGATCATATCGAATATTCACGTGCTTACTCGAGACTAACTTAAGTAAAATAAACAAATGCATCCTTTTTATTCTGTTATCTATAAATCGAATTAGTTCATTAGTTGTGCTGGAGATACACGCGTTGATATATAGAAAAAATCATTTCTAAATTATTATTGAGTTAAAATTTATAGCTTTAGTTTTAGCACATTATTAGCCAGGAATTATTGTGAAAAGTAGTGAAAAAGTGATTTTCTTTGATTTGTTATAAAAACCGTTTGTAATGATAAATACGTGACTGGGTTGAAAAGAAAATTTAATGAAGCAGAAGAAGAGGGTGGTGAAAATAATGGAAATGTTTCTTCACAAAATAGTAAAACTAAACATAGAAAATATGATCCAATGTACTTATCATTGGGATTTACGTATAAGATCATTAATGGTCAAGAACGACCAATGTGTTTGCTGTGTATGAATACTTTGGCCTCAGATAGCATGAAACCAAGTAAATTAAAACGACATCTGGAAAAGTGCACGCCGATCATGTTGGCAAAACAAAAGAATTTTTCCAAAGAAAATTAGATAACTTAAATAAACAGAAAGAATCGTTTAAGAAAAGCTTTGTCTGTATCACAAAAAGCGTTACTTGCGTCATACAAAGTTTCGTATAGAATTGCTAAATGCAAAAAACCCCATTCAATAGGAGAAACTTTAGTACTACCAGCAGCTATTGACATAATAGCTACGATGTTTGGTGAATCATATGCTGATCAAATTAAAAGCATTCCGCTGGCAGATAATACGGTGGGAAGACGGATATCTGATATATCTGATGATCTTTGCGATCAGTTGATAGAAAAAATTAAATTATCTTCTTTCGCGTTGCAAGTAGATGAGGCTACCGATGTTGCTAAGGATGCACACTTAATAACATATATAAGATATGTTATGGAAAATGATATTAGAGAAGAGTTGTTATTCTGTAAGGCAATTGAAGGCAAGCTACGGCGAGTGAAATTTTAATATGATTGATAACTTTTTTATTGAAAATGGTTTTATGGGAGAACTGTGTTGGACTGTGCACTGATGGAGCTCCATCTATGGCAGGAAAAAATGCTGGTCTGCAGGCCCTAGTTCGAAAAGTGGCTCCTCGTGCAGTTTGGACGCATTGTATGATTCATAGGCAATCTCTTGTTGCAAGGAATATGGGTGAAGAATTACTTGAAGTATTTGAAATTATAATAAAAGTTGTTAATTTTATCAAAAATAGTCCATTAAGAGAAAGGCTTTTGGAAAATTGTGTGATGACATGGGCTCAGAATACAAAGCACTACTTTATTATTGTGAAGCACGTTGGCTTTCTCGTGCTAAAGTACTTCAAAGGGTGTTTGAGCTCAAAAAAGAAATTGCCATTTTTCTTGCTGATAATAAAAGAGATGAAGCAGACATATTTTATGACACGAAGTTTCTCGCAAAATTTGCGTATCTAGTTGACATCTTTAAAAGACTAAGTGATTTAAATAAATCAATGCAAGGAACTCAAATTCATGCTTTTGTTCAAAAGGACAAGATTACGGCGTTTATGAAAAAAATAGAGCTGTGGATAGCTAGTATGAAAAGTAATAACTTTGATATGTTTCCTTCTTTTAAAACTACATGTGTTAATGATGATGAAATAGAAGCAAGTAAAGATCTTATTATCAATCATATGACTAGTTTAAGGAACCAATTTGCGCATTACTTCAAAGATCTAGATATGTCCAAATACGAATGGATTAGAAATCCATTTGTTATTGATAAATATGATAATTTTGGACTTCCAACGGCAGAGCAGGAATTATAATTGATTTATCTAGTGATAGCACATTGAAGCAGATGTTTCAGGACGAAAAGAATATTGTTAAGTTTTGGTTACAAGTAAGGACGATTTTCCAACTTTGACAAATAAAGCCTTAGAAATTTTATTACCATTTGTGACATCCTACTTATGTGAAACTGGTTTTTCTGCAGTAGCAGTATTAAAAACAAAGTACCGATCTCGTTTAGTGATAGAAATGGAACTGAGAACAGCGATTTCTACAATGAAGCCGCGGTTTGAGAAATTTGTGCTGAAAAACAAGCTCGACCGTCGCATTAATTTTTTAATATTGTGTGAAATATATATCATTTGTTTTTATTAAATTTAAAATTTTTTTTCCTATAATCCATAGTTATGTTTGTATGTATATTTTTGTATGTTTATTTTTGTATGTATGTATATTGTGCATTATTTGTACGAGATTAAATAAATCATAATTTCAATTAAGTATATTTAATTAAATTGTTAAAAAATTAGGGGGGCGCAATATTTTTTTCTTTCAAAAGGGGGGCGCAAGGAAAAAAAGGTTGGAAACCGCTGCACTAGCTATAAAAAACGAACGATGAGGCTAATTAAGAAATAAAACTCTTTATTGCTCTTAGAATATAATGCAATTAACGAATGGATATGAGTACTGTATATAATATACAAAAAGAGATGTAAGATGAGATTTTCATATAGAATAAATTGACATATTATTTAAACGGAAATGTTCTCAATTTGAATTATATAATTCAATAATCGCATCGAATTAAAATTGGGTATAGTGTTAGTTTTAAATTAAGATAAACTAGTTGGTATTGGTATTTTGCCTTGAGGCAAGTTACATGAACTTCCCGATTTGTGTAAATAATCGACTTAATTCATTACAGATAAATTAATTTATGAGTAGTTAAAAGTATTCGAAGTGGATTTATTACACATTATTGAAAATCGAACACGTCAACCCGGTCGGAGTATTTTTTAAAAGCAAATTTTCAAAAATCAATAATTTTTATAATTGAGCCAGTTTTTTGTAGAACTTTAATTCTTTAGTATGTTCGCCAAGCAAATATTACGGCCTTACGCCAAGCATTTATCGTTATACCAGGTAAATCATCTAATTTTAACTTTAACAAATGTCAAAAGAACTACTCATTTTCTCAAATTGATGAATTTTTAAAATTAAACTACTTGTCGTAAAGCCGTAATATTTCAGTAAGTTCTATAAGACCATGATATATATCGCCCAAAAAAGTTCCATAAAAATCGGCATAATTTATTTTTCAACAGTTAATTACAAGAAAACGGCTCAGTAGATTTTCACCTAAAACTAATAAGTATCATTCCCAACTAATATCTTTCGAACAGTTTTTGATTTTTTAAAATCGGTTCGGTACTATGAGCTTAAATGTGGACGAAAGGTTTAACACCTTTTTCCAAATTACAAAGAAACGGCTTGGCCGATCGTCGCACAAAACTGAGAAACGATAATCCTCATCAAGATACATCAAATGGTTTTTAAATTTCTGAAACCGGTTCAGGCGTTTTTGAGCAAACGTCGATAAAAGTTCTAATTTTGACACATTCCAAAAGACCATACTAATTTTTGCAAACTTTGACGAATTTTTAAAGCTAAACGGTTTGTCGCAGGGCCGTAATATTTAGTATGATCTATTAGACTATGGTATCTACCGTCAAAAAAATAATAATAAAATCGGCGAAAAAAATTTTTTTAACACCTTATTACAAGAAAACGGCCCGGCCGATCTCTACCAAAAAACTAATCAGGTCGATTCCCAACCCAACACATTATCTTTCGAACAATTTTGAATTTTCAAAATCGATTCAGAATTGGGGCTAAAACGTGGACGAACGAAAAACTTTTCACTTTTCTGCTATTTACGAAGAAACGGCTTCGCCGATCGTCGCACAAAACTGACAAACAATAGTCCTCATCGAGATACATCGAATGGCTTTCAAATTTTTGAAATCGGTCCAGCCGTTTTTGAGAAAACGGCAATTTACGGCAAAAAATCGTGGTGGTGCACACGCACACACATACTTTTTCCAAATTTGGTCTCATTCGATTCAGAATGGCTTGAAACGTCGAGAAAACATAAAATTAGCGAATCGGATTTTTTGATGAAAACATAAACTTCTCCTTCGGGAAGTTAAAATGTATATAAATTTAAAGAACAGGTAAAATCTGAACTATCAAATTTGGGTTCCTAAACATTTGAGTATGGCGGTGATAATAATATTAGATACATACTGATCACAGAATTGATCCATCATTCTTTTGCAAATCGTACGGATTTTGGTAAAAAAGTGACATTTTAGAATTGGCTTTTAGAATATTTTTATAGATAAAATCATTTGACACGAATTTCAAGATTTTGCCGGCGAACATTTTTTTGTTGATATTTACGATTGATATTGCTGATTTTCTAAATTTTTATGAACTTCCTCTGTATTATGTTAATTATCTCCAGTTGTGTTGGTCAGATCAGTATTATTTTTTTATTATATTCATTATGAACTCAACTTTGAAGTAATTTAAAAAAATAATGTGTTTGCAATTATTTTAACAATAATTACAATCTATTGGGTATCTTTTGGGTAAGTCATTTGAGAATTAGAATTAAAGGACCCATCTCATATTTTTAAGAATTATATAAACTGAATTGCAAAGTTAAAATGATTTATTTCAAGTATATAAATGAGATTTAAAATTTTAGCTAGTATTAAAATTAAAAACCGAATCAATTTCGATATTTGAAAATAAAAGTTTTTGAAAATTAAAGAAAAAAATTTGAAATGTTAAAATCCATAAGAATTGCCTTTCTCAAAAACTAATCCTTGTTTCACACTCACAACACAAACAAAATGCTTTCTAAATCATCCGAATCCTATTTCTCAAAAAGAACTGTAATATATAGGACTTTTTTGCCAAAAACTAATCAGCTCGCTATCAATTGAAATCGAATGTTTTTTGAATCATTAAAATCGGTTACGGGAAATTAATAATGATAATAACACCTGAATAAAATCAAGTTCAAAGTAAAAGTTAACATTTGCGTATATTACATTAATGCCAATTCAAGCGCTCCTCATCTTTATTCATACAATGAAATAATGAGATTAGGAAAAAATTTACATGTTTAACTAACCTGTTAGCATCTTGCTGAGATTCGTCCATATCGATGTCCTTCCGAGAGTCCTTGGCCTTTTTGTCGGCGGTAACGGTAGCAACAGTACGTTTGGCGTTTACTTCGAAATTTATGTGCCAATCTTCCGTCGAGGCGGTTGCGCTTAAAATTCTGAGACCGGCCTTCACGCGAGCTCTGGAAAATGATTAAAAAAAATATATTTTGTCAAACTAAAATTGAATTGATGATGACATTTATATTAACCAGTGTTAACATTTTCAATGTAAATAGGACAAGTTGATGCGGAATTTTTTATATAAGACAATTCTGAACATCATATTATTAAGAACATAAGTATATTAATGCAAATAGCTCTTTCGATCGAAAGTTGCGCTATATATATATATCCGGTTTGTATAAAATGTGTTTGGATAAAAATTAAGATTTCATTGTAAATAGCAATTTTATAGTAGATCTATTATGCCATCTATGTTTTAAATGTTTTAAAGATCGTTTACTGAGCATATAAAAGTAAGAATTGATGTGTATTTAATACTGAACTTGCCAACGCCAGTCAAATGATCCTTTTTGTAAAACTAAGACATTTCAAACGTTAAAATGTCATGACAATTCTAATACAGAATATACTAAAACTGTTTCCTTCAATCTTTGATTTTAGTTGTTTTTATTATATTCGGGAAAAAAAGTTATGTGGCCAAACTAGCGCGGGGTGATCAATATGACCGGTGAAATATAATGTTATTTGGAAAGTTGTTTCCGTCGAAGAGTGGTGCACACTTTAGGTGTTTTTCAATTTTTTGGATATAAATGGATAATACGTAGATTTTAAGTGAAAAAATTTTTTGTTCCAGTTAGCTTCCGAACTTGGCGATGATATTCAAAATCTCAATAAAACCAAGTTTTCCAAACATCGTCCATAAGTTCAGATTTTGGAGTACGAAAAACTTATTAAACTAGTTGGTTTGGTATTTAGCCTTGAGGCAAGTTACATGAACTTCCCGAAATGTGTAAATAATCGACTTAATCAAAAAAATGTATAAATAATATACTTCATTAATCCTACTTTTAAAAAAACGATATAATTTTAGCAAACTTTGACGAATTTTTAAATTAAACTACTTTCGTTAGGCCGTAATATTACAGTAAGTTCTATAAGACCATGATGTATATCGCCAAAAAATTTCCATGAAAATCGGCTTAAATTTTTTTTTCAACAGTTAATTACAAGAAAACGGCTCGGTAGATTTTCACCTAAAATTAATCAGTACCATTCCCAACTAATATCTTTCGAACAGTTTTTGATATTTTAAAATCGGTTCGGTAGGATGGGAGCTTAAATGTCGACGAAATTTAACACTTTTTTCAACAGTTAATTACAAGAAAACGACTCGGTAGATTTTCACCCAAAATTAATCAGTATCATTCCAACTAATATCTTTCGAACAGTTTTTGATATTTTAAAATCGGTTCGGTAGGATGAGCTTAAATGTCGACGAAAATTTAACACTTTTTTTCAACAGTTAATTACAAGAAAACGGCTCGGTAGATTTTTCACCTAAATTAATCAGTATCATTCCCAACTAATATCTTTCGAACAGTTTTTGATATTTTAAAATCGGTTCGGTAGGATGAGCTTAAATGTCGACGAAAATTTAACACTTTTTCAACAGTTAAT